TCTGAGAGGAAGCTAGTACCATGCTCTCCTGAGTTTTAAATGCACTTTAGAACAGCACACAGCAACACTACATATGAGCGGGCGTAGGGAGGTTTGAGGTCTTCACTCACCCCGGTTCTGTTAGCCGTCAGGGCTGGGGGGCTGGGAGGAGGTGCTGGCCGTCAGACTGGGGTCTGGGATGCGGGGCCTCCCTGCTACTGCAGATAAGGAGGTGGTCCGCTTGCCTCCACCCCAGAGAGAAGGGTTACATCTCCTGGGTCTAGGTGCGGCTTGCCCCTCTGAGGGCGGGGGTACCTGGACCTGGGATATAGAGTATGTTTGGGGAGTGCGACTGTCTGTGCAGTGTCTATTTGTGTCTGTCTACACGTTGGGTGAGTGCCGAGTATTTGGTTGTGCATATGGGGTGGGAATGCACGTTTGTGTCCGCGTGTGCCTGTTCGTCTGTGTCTATATGTCAGGTTGGGTCTTAGACTCAACCTCTCTGGGTACATCTCAGGCCCTCTAAAGTACGGAGGCCTATCTCCCCTCACCACACTCCCTGCCGGTGGCTGATGCCCTCAGACGTTGGTGTGTTGGTGGTCCTTGTCGTCTGGGGCTGGGCGCTCATGTATGTACCGGCTCACTCCTGGTGGCCGATTGGCGGGGCCGGGCGCCTGTGGCCCGGCTGGGCTCCTTCCGGGGGGTGGGATGCCCTCAGGCCTCTGGCCTCTGGGCCTGAAGCTCGGTCCTCTCTGGCACAGCTGGCTGCCGGCAGAGCCCGCGGGCACGCCACTGCAACCCCCTCTGGCCTCTGCTCCGTAGCTGCGGGGTGACCTCTCCTTTGGGGCTCTACTCAGCTCTTCCCAGGAGGGTGGCACGGTTCCCCCCCTTTGGTGGTCCTCCTCGGGTCCTTGTACTCTGGGGCCTCTGGATATCTGGGGCCTGGATCTCCTCCATACCTGCTTCATACCCTGGTGGACGGGGCTATGGCTCCCCACACTCCCTAGCAGATCGTTACATGGAGAAACCTTTGGAATACAAGCATGCTGATCCACACAGGTATGCACACAGGTGTACACACGGGTGTTCACAGACGCGGACTACAGCTTTCTTGGCTGCTGCCTCAAAGCACATTGTGCGCTGTCTATCTTGCGTGCTGCACAATATCGTTTATTATTTAGTATCTACTGCTAGCTAGTTTATTGTGATGGTGCTGTTTTTTTTATTATGTTGCTCTTTGTTGTTTGCTTTCTCTTCTGTTTTTTTTCTCCATACAGGTGATCCAGGTGTTTTTTTTTTTTCTTCCCCCCCCTTCTCACCGTCTCTTCTCCCCTTTGGTTTTCTTTCTCTCCCTCTCTTTCTTTCATTCTTTCTCCCTGTCCTATCCCCCAGTCATGTCTGTCCCGTTTGTAGCAACCGAAAATAAAATAAATTCATAATTATAATAAAGGTCAATCAAATGGACCAATATGGCAAGGCCATGATGATCCACTTGGTAAAATAAATCCGCTTGGCATCTTTCTTGGCCTCAAGACAACAATTCTGATGGCTAAAGATCCAAATGGGAGACAAAAAAAAAAGAAAAAAAAAGGCTAAATTAGCTCCTCAACATGTCCTGAAGTTCTCCAGAGGCCTGGTAACGAACTAATCATGTGATTCAGGTGTGTTGACCCAGGGTGAGATCTAAAACCTGCAGGACACCGGACCTCGAGGAGTTGCCCACCCCTGGTAGAGAGTAATAAAAGGGTACAGGTGCTAACATGGCCAACATTTAAAAAAACCAAGCGAATTATAAATCAAAAAGTATAACAATGGTGGAGCCAAACTGTTTAGTAGCTCCAATCATATTCTAAAACCAAAAGGCGTACCATTTTGCTTTCAGAGCTACAGTGACTGATCTCACTGGTGTTAGTCAAACAAAATGGAATAATTGCAGCATGTGTTTTCAGTATCTAAGATAAAATTTTAAAATAAATACAAAGTTAATGAATTAGAAGTCAAGAACAGTAAAACTTAAAAGCATCTACAACTACATGATTTTCACAATAATGAGATGCTCTATTTATTTATTTATTTTATTTAGGACAGTGCATGTTAATGAACATAAATGTAAAAAAAAAATTACATGAATGTAAACATACCAGATTATAGCCAAGGGCTAATTTCCATCTGTTGTCCTTAAGCATAAAAAATAGACATAATAATTCATAAAAATTCATCATTCATTCATAATAAAAACTCCATCACCAAACTTACACATACACACCATTCTGTTCCCAAATAAAACATTAAAACTATACAACTCATACATGATCACACACTTGATTTGTCCATAACCAGTTTTTAACCTTTGCCTTAAACAAATTGAGTGTACGAGCATTCTCTAATGGGTTGAGGAAGACTGTTCCACAGATGGCCACCCTGGACAGAAAGGACGTTCTGCACCAAATGCTGTCCGTCTGTGGGGTATAAACAAGTCTCCTCGTCATGTAATTATTTTCTTTTATTGCTATTCGATTGGCAATTTACCGATATTGTATATACGTCACTCCTCCCAGGGTGAGATCTAAAACCTGCAGGACACCGGACCTCGAGGAGTTGCCCACCCCTGGTAGAGAGTAATAAAAGGGTACAGGTGCTAACATGGCCAACATTTAAAAAAACCAAGCGAATTATAAATCAAAAAGTATAACAATGGTGGAGCCAAACTGTTTAGTAGCTCCAATCATATTCTAAAACCAAAAGGCGTACCATTTTGCTTTCAGAGCTACAGTGACTGATCTCACTGGTGTTAGTCAAACAAAATGGAATAATTGCAGCATGTGTTTTTATCTAAATTTGATATCTAAATTTAAACATTTATTAATCTAAATATCTAAAAGTTATTGAAAAAACGTCTTAAAGAGTTATTTTCAGATAAAAATATAAAAACATCTACAATTCTACAATAGTTAGACAAAATGCAGTGCTCATGCTGTTTATTTATTTATTTTATTTAGGACAGTGCATGTTAATGAACATAAATGTAAAAAAAAATTACATGAATGTAAACATACCAGATTATAGCCAAGGGCTAATTTCCATCTGTTGTCCTTAAGCATAAAAAATAGACATAATAATTCATAAAAATTCATCATTCATTCATAATAAAAACTCCATCACCAAACTTACACATACACACCATTCATACTAATGTGCCCAAGCAGCCCAGGCAGACATTAGGTTGTAAGTAGTAAATCTGCTGCCTGTACACTTTAACTGGCACTTCACAATAGATTTCTGGCACTTAAGATACAATCATTTGGCTTCAAAAGACATGAAGTGCCTTTATTTGTGTTTCCACATTAATGAAAATTCTAATACTTTACAGATTAGTCTTTTGATGCTTTGTCAGAAATTTTAATTTGCATGTAAGCAAACCTGAAGTTTCCAGACATGCTTCTGTGCTGTTTTCTGAATTTTCTTAGCAGCTACTCACTTTCAGTTTTCACATTGGCTTGACGCGCACACCTACAGGCCAAATTAAGAAGCCTCCCAAATTTGCACACCTTTTTCTTTACTTAACAGTAACGTGTCTTCCACAGCTTCTGAGCCACTGTGTTAATGTTGGTTAATCTGACTGTGACACATGATTGATAGCCTCTCCCAAGTGTGCAGGATCCAAAGGATTAGTAGTGTTTACTTCTAGTAGCATGCTGGGTACCTTGGCTGTAAATGACTGGAATTAATAACCTGCTGACGCCTATGAGACAGCTCTGTTTATGTACAGGGAGAGACATGACAGTCTGCCCTGGACATTGAGTAGCTGTAAAAGAGTCTGCCCTTGCCCAGAAAGGTTTGTGTTTATATGTCACTTATGACGATGCTAATATTCCTGTTAGCCTAAAATGATTCTTTCTAAATGTATTCTTTTGGCCTTTAGCATTTTTAGGTCATATGCCATGAGGCTCAGATATTAATAATACAGGATTAGTGCAGTGTTTACATTTCCCTCTCTCTCTCTGCTTCTGGCTTTATCCACACCTCCCTTCTTCCCTGTCACACACAGACACACACATGCACACTAAGGGGCATGAGAACAGGGTAAATCCTGACAACTTCAATGAAGCCTCACACAAAGACTAAAACTCGAGGGGGGGTGAGAGAAATGCAAAACCGTACAGTAGCCTGACCTCTTCCAGCTAACATAGACATGCATGCACCAGATACCGGGCGTGGCCACCTTCCTGCACAAAGCCAGAAATAAAGAACCAAGATAATGTTTTCAGCAACAAGACCCCTGGGTGACCTTCCTTATCGACCCCAGCATGACCCCATAGTGAGGAAGGAGAGAAGCAAAGCGCCCAGTATCACTATACAGGAGTCGAATGGACAGGGACATCACTACAATAGTGAAAAAAAAGGAAGGTGCTGTCATTGTGTGCTCACAGTAAATCACTGTGTAGGTGACAGTCCCAGATCTCGGGCCCTTGCACCCACCTTAACATCCCGGTGCGCTCATAAGTCAAACGTCTTTCTCTGTCTACACTCTCACTGTGATTGTAGCCTCAAGTCTTTGGTCATTCATGTATTGTTTCTTAAGTATTTCTCCACAGCTGGGCTGGTTTGTCTGTTTCGGGTCAAATACAGGTTTGTGGCTTCAGGGTGCAACTGTACTCGGCTTAACGCTGAGGAATGTGCCGCATCCAACTTCAATACCAGCTGGGAATGGAAGGAGATCATTTCCACTCTCAATGATTCCATCCATAAATTGAAAGCTAACGACAATCAGTCTATGCAGCTGGGTTTTGAAAGCAACATAACAATTGAATTACGCTTTGTTTTTACATGCCTCTATGCGTGCCATCCTCATACACTAGGCAGACCTCTTCTATCTTAATGCAAGTGTAAACAGTTATCTTTTTTGTTTATGCTCTGATATTTAACAGTTAAACCTGTGAGAGTGCTGTGTAACCATCGCATAAATCCATCTGTCTGTCTCTTGTAATTTTTCTCACGTCTTCGCTGTGTTTTGTCCACAGTCGACCTGGAGCACATGAGGACAGTGAAGTCTGATAAACACCAGCGCTTCTGCCAAGAGAACGGCCTCATCAGTCAGTTCGTATCGGCCAAGACAGGGGACTCGGTTAGTACCAGCCAGTTTTCAGTAGGTCAGAAAATAAATTGGAAGTGGCTTTCATTGGATTCACCTTGTGTTATTTTTCTCTGAATTTCTTATTCCAGGTGTACCTTTGTTTTCAGAGATTGGCTGCTGAGATTCTGGGTGTAAAACTAAACAAAGCAGAGCTAGAGCAGTCACAGGTGAGCCGTGACAGCATCAAGGTTTAGCATCAAGGTTGGGTGTGCAACGTTCTTCTAATCGTATATGGATAATTTGCTCTTAGTCTCATCAGTACTTCACCAGTCACCTATGTGCAATGTTATGCCTGAACTTAAGCGAGGTCACGGGGAGTGCGTTAGGTCAATGGAGGTCACCACACACTGTATAGGACTTTTTGCTGTGTAAACATGATTTTGCTACGTCTGCCTCCTGTGATGGTATACCTGCCACTGACACTGCCCATCTGTAAATAGACCCACATTGACCACATTAATGCGTGAAGTCAGAGGTTAAAGGTAGGCAGTTGTTGGGGTGAGAAGGTTAGGAGTGGCTGCCTGATTTATTAGTTTTATCTCCCACTGTTTTTGTTTTTTTTGACAAAACGGAGCCTCGGCTTGCCAGCCAGTCCATGATGCCCAATAGTGGCAGCTGTAGGATTTACAAGGTCACCTCCCCCAGAGGCATTAATCCTGAGTGTGATATGACCGGCTGGAGCCACACTGGCTGGCTAGTGGTTGATGAGCCTGAGGGGCTACAGAGAGGTCAGGACCCCAGAGAAGGGAGAGCTTGTAGGTGAAAGAGTGGCCAAATTCTCAAGCTCTGCTCCAATCAGCCAACACCGCTTCTGACTAAGTGAAAATGACCACAGACTAATGTAGCTGTCCATCTGCTTTTGCATTTAACCCCCTCCCTTCATAGTTCTGTCAGTAAAGCAAAGTGCTTTAATCCAGGCTAATCAAGCTGGGTGGGTGGCTAGATCCACTGTCCACTCATAAAGAAGGGATGAGTAGTTGTCAGAAACACAAAACACAGCACAGCTCTACAGGGAAGAAAACATATATTGTATAAGCAAAAGAAACTACTTAACATTTATTAAACTTCCTATAAAACCACTGAGTTAAAGGTACATTCCAGAAATTTACATATCTAGTGGATACTGTATGTGTTGTGATCTGAGGTTCTGATTGATTATGAATAATCTAAGAATTAAGAATCTAATCAAATAATTATTTTCTCAGTCTGTTGGTTTGCTCAGAATTTCTCATAGCTGGTATTTTCAGATGTTTTGTCAGCGCAGTAGTCCAAAGTGTTTGTCGATTTCTGCAGGTTGGTGTGGGGGAATGTGTTTTACTTGGTCAAAGCAAAAACAAAATGCAAGAAACAGTTCATAAATTTTCATAAAGACCAGTGTTGTAAATGGAAATTGGTGCAGAGAGAAGGCTTTCAGCAGGTCATGCCTCTGGGTGTAGCCATGGGCGAGCAACGTGTCATTATCAGCTGTCAGGTTTAGAGAGCTGAACACGAGGGTCACAACCCCCGACAGTATTATATCTGCCTGGCAGGCTTCTCCGTCATGGTCCTCTGTCTGTAAGATCAGATAGCGAAGTTACGGATCACTCACCGACTCCAACACCAGGTTTCAGCAGCTCGTTAATCAGGCAGCCAACCAGGGCCTGGTATTCAGCCATGTGGGCTCCTCGAAGGTGGTTAATCACCATAGGGTCCAGCTGCCTTTTGCGCTATTGCCCTTTTCTATTGAATAAATGAATTATTTTTAGGGTTTGGACAAACCAGCAATTTAAAATGTCTCATCAGACATAAACTAGGATGAAGTGGACTGACATGGCATCGATCTCAATAATGAAAGACTAGATTTTCAGTGTTCTAAGGTTTTTTCCTTTGTGTGTTTTAGCATGCGTTTAATTAGAAAACTGGCTTAGCTCTGTGTGCTGTCTACACTCCTTTTCTTCCTCATCTCTAGCACTCCCTGATTTATTCTTTCTCATTCACTCATTACTTTGCTCAATGCCGCTTTTAACTCTCATCATACGTGTGCTCTCTCATGATTTTGTAACTGTCTGTTTTTCTGTTTTGTTTTGTTTTTCTATTCTTTTTCCTGTCTTCCACTCATCTACTGCTCGATACACTGAACCTGCTCAGAGGATTGTGAAGGCTGAGCTGGTGGACTACCCACAGGATGAAGGTCCAATTAGTCAAGAGAACGCCCAGCAAAGCAAAATATGTTTGATTCAGTAGCCGGAAGTATGTCTCTACAGTTACACAGATATATCCCCGTAGATTTGTAGTTGTAGCAACTATTAGTAATAGAGGTTATGTTTTGGTTCAGAGTTTAAATTTACAAAGTAGTGAATCAAATAAAAAGACATGTCCTCTGTAGTAGTGTTATTTTTTTAGTCCACTTTGGGATTCTAAGCTATGTGTGTTTTTGTCCGTGTGTGATGTAATGAGAAAAACCTCAAAACCATGAAACAGATATGACTCCATTCTGACCTTCATCTGCTTCCTGTCAGATTCAGGGCGTGGGTGCACAAACATTTTGACCAATGTCTTCAGTCATAGCATGGACTTTGAGCCCATGTCAAGAAATGTTAAAGAAACAATTTGGGAGATATCTCAGTCAGCCATCTAGATGAGAACGTCCTTACAACTTATGTCTGTGCATGACCCTGCGGCCAGTAATGGGACCGCTTAGACCAGGGGTGGCAAACTCAGATACACATTGGGCCAAAATTCAAAACTGGAACCAAGTCGCGGGCTAACGTTAATATTTATTGAAATATATTTATTCCTCCAGATTTAAGAATGAATCTTTTCTTATGGACTCAAACACGTTTTGCTGAAAAACTGAATATGGAACAAGCAAAGCTTAATACTAAACAATATAAATTTTAGCTGTATAATACCAGTAGGCCAGCTCTGATAGTAATTTGGTATGGCTTCGCGGGCCAAGTGTAATTAGGCTGCGGGCCAAATTTGGCCCACGGGCCAGAATTTGACACCTATGGCTTAGACGGACATACAGAGTTTTTAAAATTAGATGTTTCTCCTGATAATGGTTTTTGGGCTAAATTAAGCTAGTCTGCTGCTGGCTGTGGCTTTGAATTTATAGTCAAGACGTAAGAGTCGTATCAGTCTTTTCATTCAAAGCTGCATGAAAGCAAACACTTCTGTTTCTCAAGATCTCATTCACAGTGTCGTTTATCGCACTTTTCAGCAGTTTAACTCTTTAATAGGCGAGGCTTAATTTAATCTGTGGCCTAACTGGAGGTTTCTGGTATTTCAAAGGAATTCTTGTTGCAGCTTTCAAACTAAAAAGACACCTTTCCATCTTTTTCAGCGCGTGGTGAAGGCGGACATTGTGAACTACAGTCAGGACACTGTAGCCAGGACAGTCAACCCCCCTCGCAGCTCCATGTGTGTGGTGCAGTGATCCCCTCCGAAACACACAGACACACACATAAACACACACAAAGCTTGTTTACAGTGTTACTCTTTCCAGATTTTTTTGATGACTGGATGAAAAGTGTTTCTCTTTGTGGGTGAGGAGAACAGACCGTGCGGTTTCGATGCCTTGGTCTGTAGTTCAGATATTTAGCACGAATAATTTCATTGGTGGTTCACCAAAAAGGATACGGGACCTCACTTTTCTTTTTTTCAAGTTTACACGCAGCTATTCTTTCATTTCATCTTAGATTTATATTTAAAAATGACTCTTACATCGATTACTAGCTCTATGTTAGTACAAAGCTGGTTTTTCAGTCTGCTAGTTGAGAATATTTTTATACATGAGCATATTTTCTTCTACCATTGCTGTTAGAGACGTTTGTTTAAACAGTAACCCCTGTTTAATCTGTGGCTGTAACTACGACTGCAGGGTGGATGTTCACGGGACATAAACGGGAAGATGAAAGCAAATGTGATTTTCTGATTTTTTTTTATGCCTGTGGTGCTCATCAGTTGAAGAGAGGGGAAGTAGGTGTAGAAAATGTTTTAGCGAGTGGAGTGAAATGAATCTCTGCTTTCTTTTTGCCAAGTAAGGGCCTCCACTAGCAGTAATGTGATGTGAACTACCGTATGTTGTGTTATTTTTGCATAGACATATTTAAATTTTAGTCGTAAATTAGGATTTACATTTTCCACAAAACAAACATACAAATGATTTCCATCTGTTTAAACAGCGTCTCTTCTTCAGGTGTTCCTTGTAGATTATATTATCCATTTCGAAAATGTAGTTTTATATTTATGATTAGAGTTCATGTAATTTTGTTAGATGCTCCTTTGGTAAAGTGTTAATGACATTAGATGAATATGACTGAAGAGGTTCTGAGCATCAGCTACGTTTGATTAGATTAGATTAGATTAGATAGAACAGCGGTTTGAATTGGAGAATGAGTTTGATGCACAACAACCTGTTCTTTAGTTTGTGTGTCTGAGATACTACCAGATTTGTTTAGGTGGTCACAACTAAACAGCCATCATATGTGTAAAATGTGTATTTGTATATGAAAAGCTATCCCCGCTCCATTTCAAAGCAGCTTTCAATGATTAGAAATCATCACAAGGCATCACTGTAAATTCTGATCATGCTAAGAAGATGTACTCTTTAGAAATGAAAAAAATGTACAGTGAAAAGTGAATGTTTAGATATACAGTGACACATATTTGTGTTTTTAAATAAATGCTACATGGAAAAAGAAGTGATTTGTGAAGTTAATTAATTAATCTTGTGTGTACAGCAAGACTTTGCAGGTCTTGCCTGGAAAATGGGAAACAGACATTTATTTAAGTTTTATTTAAATTTCTTTATGGTAGTCATCAGGAATAGTTATTCCTGAAGGAGACTCTTCTTTAGATTTGCTGCCTTTTGTTCTGTTATGTCAAGAGGATCCCTCACTGCTTCAATAATGCTGAGGTCTGCGCTCTGGGGGAGTCATGACTGATGGTGTTGCATTGGGCGTTTTTCTGTCCACGTCCGCTTTCCGTGCGCTAGAAATTTGTTTGGGTCATTGTCAGAAAAGCTGAGAAAGGAAGCCATTGCCAGATGGTATTACATGATGGATACCATCTGATGGTACTTTTCTTGGTTCATAATTCCATCAATTTTGACAAGATCTCCAACATCACCGGCTGATATGCAGCCCCCAAACCATGACAGAGCCTCTACAGAGCCTCCACCTGTCACTGCTGATTTCCAGCCCAGTTCTTGTGTAATTTGGCAAACCTCAGTGTTTTCTCCCCATTTGCCTCCCTTAAGAATAGCTTCTTGACAGGCACCTCTGCATTACAACAAGTTCTGATGACACTTCACGAACAGTAGATGGATCAACTGAAGGTCAGATGCACATCTTAAATTATTTCTCAAGTATTTGCTAGTCAAAGGAGCTTGCAAAGAAAAGCGTCTGGACTTCTTTAAGTTGCTTGAAGACGTTTCACCTCTCATCCGAGAAGCTTCTTCAGCTCTAAGTCCAAATGGTGAGGAGTCCCAGATTTAAACCTAGTGGGAGTTTCCCCCCACAGAGGGACAAAGGACCCTAGATTTTGCTAGATTTTTTTCTCCTTTTTTTCTAAGGACATGAATTTCAGATCAAGTTTTTTGACTTATAGCTTTTTGGGAGGGTGGCAGAATACAATTTAATGCCTGTCAAGCTGTTATATTTTTCATAGTTTCTGCTAATTTCCAACAGATTGCTAGTAAACAAATTGTCCAAGGATACAATTTAAAATTGCTTCTTTAGTAAGTCGTCTGTTATGTGTAGACACACCACTGATTCATGTCTTTAGTTACAGTTTTATGCTTTTAAAAAGCATTGCTCTGAGTGGTCAGGTACAAAGACTGAACTGATATTAAGTTAAAAAGCAGCCAATGTCTTGAATAAAGAGTGGGATTTGGACTGAGCGTGGAGTTAAAAATTGGAGCAGGACACTTGATGGTTCGTAGTGGGGCCGATGGCGCGATATGACAGCCTCGCTTCTGTCAGTCTGCCCCAGGGCAGCTGTGGCTACACCTGTAGCTGCCTCCACCAGTGTGAGAATGTGAGAGTGAATGAATAGTGGCATTGTAAGCGCTATATTAATCCAATCCATTATTAGTGGGAAAGTGTAATTTTTAATTTTTTTTTTTACATCCCAATAATGTTTGCATATGTACAAATAATTCCTGTGAACTTAAAACTAATGTGAGAGTTATACTTCTGTGGAAAATCTACACTTTATATAATTCTTAATCCTTAATCTCATCCCTATTATCAATTTAGACACATAGCTTCGTGAGCACATAAGCCCCACCCACCTGTGATTCAAACCTTGGGTTAAAGAAAGGCTGATTCTAAAGGCAAAGGCTGTTTCCAACAGAGTATAGATTACGAGAATGAACTGAAACCCAGTATAAGATAAATTAGGATAATTTCAACACCATGATGCTAAAGCAACTCTAGTGGAGTCCAAGAATGAAAATGTGGAGCTAGAAATAAGCCCAATGTTTACTGTGTCTTCCACTAAAAATGTGATATAATCATAATAGTTGTTTTCATCATTTGTACTTTGGCCTATATTACTGTGAAATTACTGCATGATGTGTGGTATTAAAACGTAATTAGCTTTACCCTGCAGAAACCCTGATTTAGCAAATGATGTGAGTTTGAGGGGAATATTGTTACCACAGAATGAGCTGCCTGAATGTGCGCAGACATTCTCATTACTCAGGCTTTGTTAGCTTGCTACCACATTTGGACCTTGGTGTCGCTGCAATTTTTCACCTCATTCTGCTAACAGAAACCAACAGGAACACGCCCTGGAGGTGCTCATATGAGCAAGGCTACTGCTGATGAAGATGTTCAGAGTAAGAGCCCATGTGTTGAAATTTAAGCATAAGGATGGAAACTTGACCACCCCAGAGATCCCCATCCATACAGACGAACCTAAGTCTCTGGTAGCTAATGAGCCACCTGGTCTTTGTTGACTAAATCCACCCTGAACAGATGATCCAAATGGCTTTTTAATGGTTGTAAACTTCATCAATTAATGACTTGAATTCTCTGGCCTTTTGTTAGCCTTTTTATTTGCTGAGTCATTGTCAATGAATCCACTGGCGTAGTTGGAAGGATTAAACGCTTTCAAAACCACTGAGACAAACAAAACAAATGCTGTATCTATACAGGGATGCCCTCCGTTTTGTCCTGTTCCAGGTGTTGTTAAGTGCGACTGTGCGGTGCAGAGCTACTATAAACAACACTAAAGGAGAGCGAGGCAGCCCAGCTGGGGTCATTCCAGCGCACTTGCATTGTTTCGCTTGAGTAGACGTCTTAGGAATTGTCTCTGCTGAATTTTTGTCAAGAGCTGTCACCATCGCTGACAGGTGAGACTTGCCCTTGGCTTTGCTGCTGTTTAGACAGGTGTTTTTGCAAAGAAAACAACTGCAGCTCTGTTTCAATCATAGACGCTCACAACAGCAAATGTTCCCCTAAAGACGAAAGGAAAGGAAGGAGTGCATAATGCCTGAGAAGGGTGAGGCTTTTTGACAGACAGGCAGAAGTCAAGGCCGACTTGCGTCAAAGTGAATTTGTCTACCTGCTTTCACTGTTTCTTCTTGTGAATCACTTTGTGTGTTGGTTGGTTTCGGTGTTTGCTCACTTTCCGTTTGGGTACACATACCAGAAGATCCAGAAGTAAACAGACAAACTGGACGATGTATTTATTGGTATTTAGTTAACCACTCTGACACTTTAAATTTGCTCAGTACTTTGTCGTCTCAGACGAAGTTTCGGTCCTCCAAGAAACCAAAACACATCTTCTCAGTGGGCACAAGTCCTGCTTTTCCCCCCTTTTTTTGTATTTCTCGTTCCTCTTCCTCCCCGTCTGTGTTTCTCATTGCTGAAACTCTGCGTTGACAGTCTCAAAAAACCACATATGACAAGCTGGTAAGAGGGCCATAGTTGTGGGCTACGCTCTTTTTTTGTGCGGGCAGAATGGGGCCAACACCCTCATGATTACCCACTCACCCTCTTCCGTTTTCCACCTGTGCACAGTGCCAGACCCACAGCATTGAGGGAGTAGGCAGGACTGAGTCAACCCTCTCTGATGAGCTCCAGTCCCCCCCTGGTCCCCACACTGGCTCCTATTCTTTGCCGCTGTGCACCCGGCCAGCCAGCAGCAACTGGAGTGACAGGCAAGGCATGGCAGAGCTTGCTCTGGGCCCGAGCTGGCATCCATTTGATCAGAGCGCTGATGTGAGCCAGCAGTGCTTAGTTCCCATGGTGCTTTAGAGGATTGCTCTCTCCTCTGTTTTCTCTCTGTGTTGTTAGATTGTGATCTGAGAACTCTGCTTGTCTCATTTGCAGCTTGTGTAGTCAGGCGGGACTGTCCTGGTAGGTGCCGTGTGTCTGCTCCAGCCAAGAGGCACATGATTTATTTTAGGGCCAAGGATGTGGGCATTCAGAGGGGTCATATTTATAGTCTGTTGGTCTGGTGAGAAGACCTGCCAGTAAAAGCAGATTCTGAAAAAGAGGCACGGGGGACAGAAAACTGAAAGTCTTTCTCTCTTTACAGAGGCCATGGATGAATGCCATTTTCAGTGGGCTGTAGTGAATAGCACGTAAAACTAAATAGCTATAGTATTGGCTTTTAGATGCAAAGAGGAGGAGTGCAGCCAGTACAATAACAAAACAAGCATATTTGTAGTGCATGTTATAGTCTTCAAATCTAAAAACATTAAAGGGTCTTTTGATTAGGAAATCATAACCTTTTAAATTACAAATGCCAGTTGAGTGTTGGTCAAACAAGAAATTGTACTTTAATTAAATCCCCTCAGAATAAAACAGTTTAAATAGTGCAGTTCATTTTTTAAGCATCTAATTCCACATTTTCTTTTAGGTAGCTTTGAAAAATTTGCTATTTACATACAACAGAATGAATCCCAACAGAGGCTAAGTGTTACGGCAACAAATGTCATCTAGAGAAACGTGTTAAACCGCTTCTTTATTTATTGTTAAATGACTGAGATCAGTCTATGTGTTCCCCAGGAAAACTTTTATTATTATATGTGCAACAAAGGTTATTTGTAAGTAAGAAAGTAAGGTGGATAATAGCTCAAAATTACAGCTGTTAGACTATCTTGAAGTGGATCCAGAGATCAACGAGGTGAACAGAGACTCCTCTGAGCTTGTATGTTTCTGTTTTTGTGACACGGTGTTATCTGTGGCTACGAGGGTTAAAGCCATGATAGTTGTATCTAAATATTGTTGAATGTAGGGCTTTTTAAATCAGATTTGAGGTTTGGCAGTTAAATGTTGTGAAAATTTCAAAGATTACAACTATTGGGTTGGTGTGTTGTCATTTTGGTCAAAGCAAAGGATATTTGCCATAATACTCAAATAATTACAACAAATGAATTCTATTAATTCTATAAATCTATTTTCTTTACTGCTCACTAACTATGATCATCAGCAACAGGCTGGCAGTCTATCATGGGGCCTGTAGGGAGAGACAGATAAGCATTCACACTCACATCCACACCAACAGCTTAGAATCACCAGTTAACCCCAATATATCCACCATCTCTCCTCTGTACAAATCCAAAGTGTCTCAGCCTTGCCTCTTTAAATTTTATTTGAAATGTCAGATTTAGCAGCACGATGGTTCGCACTGTTGCCGCACAGCAAGAAGGTCCTGAGTTCAATTCCACCATCAGGTCTTTCTGTGT